AAATCATCTTCCTATATAGCTGGGTTACTGTTGGAAGTTGTTATATATGGAGGAACCACCTCACCATGTAAGCTCTTTTTATTCTCCTCCGCCACACATGCTTTTTTTTTAGAGTTTCCATTTTGACATTGTCCTTGTTGCATTTGATTAGGAGTTGTAATTTGCACACCTTGGTTCTGATTTTGAGCACTCTGACTAGGGCGGGCTTGCAGGACTCTTCATCCTACTTACTCTAAACAGAATCTGAGTATTTGTTAAAAGTGTGAAATTTGCCAGAAATAGGAGAACATCTTGCAGTTTTAGCTTCATAGTTGCCTCTCCTTTTGATTCCAAAGGAGAAAGAGTATTGATAGTAGTAATACTTTTGATAAATCAGTGGCAACCACATACTGCCAGGGTAAATAAATACCAAAGGAGCCTCATACAAATGAGACCTAATTGTTCCTGCATTTAATTCCACTGAAGATAATACTGACTAAATGGGTGGAAATGTATGCTTGTATACACATTATAAGCAGTTTGACAAATAAGAGAGAAAATCAGAAACATTGACCACAATTATTTTTTTAAGCAAAAATATTTTTAAGATGAGCAGTATTTCTTAATGTTTTTTAACTCACACAGCATGCAGATGTTTTTTATGTGAACATGCACAGGAATAGCATGTTGAGCTGATGCAGTAGCAGTGAACTGTCAGTCACAGTTCTTTTGCAGTCAAGTCTTTTAATGTATTCTGTTCCTTCTTCCCTTCAGCATGTATCCTGCTAGTTGCTAGGCAACCATAAGTGGTTTTTACTGCGCATGTTTTTTACGTGGTAGATGCTGTGTTTATTGTTTACTAATTACAGGGACAGGGATTAAAATCCGAGTTGCATTAATAATTACTAATTTTCTCCTGTTGTATCCACAACACAGCCATTTTAGGTTCTTTAAGAAAAGATCACATTAATTTGCAGTATAGATGCACATATATATGGGAGCAGAAGATAATATTTTTTTTTTTGTGAGAGGAGGTTCTATAAAAATGATAGAACAGAATAAACTGTTACTGATCTGAGTAGTCAAAATCAGGTACTAGTCTTCTGTCTGTTGCATATTTCATGCCCTTAATGCTTTTTCTTTCATGACTGTAAATGATTCTCAGTAGTTAATTATATCAAGCAAAAGCTTGAAGGTTTTCAGTGACATTCTTAGTCTGATAGAATGTGTGAACAAATCACAGTTGTCTAGATTTATTCCTTGAAAATCAGATACTGCTCTTCAGTAATTTACTACTCTTACATTTTTAATATAAAATAAAATATAAAGATGGGTGTGTATATGTAAAAAGAGAAAAAAAATATATCTAGCCATGAGATAAAAAGCTCTATAATCATCAGGAGCATTTTTAATAGAACAAATGCACTAAACATATTTTAAAATTTGGTCAAAATCAGATTATTAGCAGCTATTTCCTTTCTACTTAAATCATTCTGTTTGTTGTTAGACTCTGAAGTACAGTTGAAGCAACACTAGCATCAGTGGTTTAGTAATTTTTCTCAAATAGATATTTCTAGTAAAATAAAGCTGATGAAGTTTAAAACACAGCAGTGATAACTCTGTTCTTCGGTATAGAAGATCCAGATTCATGCTGCACAAAGTTTTGAAAACAACTTTTCACACTTTTAAAAGGATTAGCTTAAATCTATATCATATGTCAGTATTTTGCACAAGTTATTAAAATAAGTTCTTTAAAAGATTGTGAAGTCAAGCACAGAGAAATGTAGCATATAACAGAAGAAAGGTGGAAACTTAATGTGGTTCCCTCAGGAACGTACATTAGTCAGCTGTGAGGTGGCACAATAGTGTACTGCTTTGCTTTGCTTTGCTTTTTCACAGGACCAGTGCCTTCCATATACAAGGTGGGCACTGATCACTTAATGAATGGTTGAATTTCACTGGGGCTTCTTTATGATATTCATAAGGAGTGTGAAGTTTTGTAGATTTTGTAGATTCTGTAGATTTTGTAGATTCATAAGTTTTGTAGATACAGAACTTTTTTAACAACAGTTTATTCTCATTTTACAAATGAGGAATAGAAACTCAAATTTTAAGACACTGTTTGGGCACCGGACGTCTGATTTCTCAGACTGCTCACTGTTCTATACGTTCAGAACAATTTTCATTGATCTCGATTGCAGCTGTGAGTGCTCAACACTTCTCTTTATTAACAACAACAAAAAAAAATTGAAGTCCTCAATTTGCAAAGAAGTTAAACACATGCTAATTTAGTCAGTTGTGTAGTGTGTACTTAATGCGTTGCTTTTCCTTGTATTGCTTCCAAATTCTCTTTGAGAGGGCAGTCTGAGATGAAAACAAGTTCTGTCATGTGGCATGACATAGTCACTCACATAGAACATTAACAAGATTGGTGCCTTTAAATCCATAGTATAAACAGCTCCCACTTTGACAGGGAAAATGCAAGAGTAATGAATTTGTCTCTTTAATGTGCATCAGTACCAAAGGAGATGGGAGGTGCAGTGTCCTGAGTTTCACAATTGTTTGCTGGCAGGAGAGAAAGAGTAAGACTTGGGATGGCAATTATTTGATTATTTTGTTTCAGTAACAGAGTGCTTCCCAAATAAATCAGATCTGTTGGCTGAAATTGCTAGTAACTGCCTGAGTGTGAGGTACAGGTGGTCTTCATATCGGTAGACAGACTTCAGTCTCACCTTCCCAAACAGAGGTGCACAGTATGCCACCTTGTCTCATCATTTAGCAGCAGCACCCAGAAGTCTGTCCATGCATGTGCCATAATCTTGCTGTAATTTAAGAGGCAGCATGGTAGTTACTGCTGAGTAGGCAAGGGGAACCACTTCTGCTGCCACAAGTCAGGCAAAAGTTGTCAGGATGAGACAGAGGCTTTTGGTTTGTAGGTTTTCATTGGATGGAAAAATACTCTAGCTGCCAGTTGGTGCCCAGGATATTGGTTGAACAACACTGATTAGCAAGCCGTGATTAGAACATTTACATTATTGTCCTCTATGATGCAAGGTATATAAGCAGCAAGTGTCCCAGGACTAAACTGGGAACAATAAGAAGTTTTGGATTAGGTGAGCAACAACTACTTAGGAAATGAGGAAATTCTGTTTATTCCTGCTTGTTCACTGGTCTAATGGGTCCATAAGAAAAATAGTATCTCCTGAAATACTGACGCTCTTTCAGGCATTAAATGTCTAAGATATGATAGGCATTAATGGCTTTCATAAACAGCAGAGCTTTTTATCATACTTATCTTCCATGGCAGAATTGCTTCGATTCAGTATTAGTTAAATGTGATAAGATCCCACACCATGTGGAGGGTGACTGCAAGAGAGAGGCTCAGGTGGAGACCAGGACTTGGCAGTATTCTTGCCCAACTCCTGTGAACGTTTGGTATCCCTGAGTTACCACCCGATGATGCAGATGAGAAACTAGAGCCTTTTTCGAGTAGCTGTGAGAGAAGGAGGCATGTGAATGTGGGCTGGGAGATGCTTGTGAATGCTGTGTGCAGTGAATTACAGTTCCTCTCAGCAGAGATTTTTTTCTTCTACTTTGTGAGAAAAATGGCATGCACACAGGAAAAAAAAAAAAAAGACTAAGCTAATAAGTGCCATCAACACATTTCCTCTCCAGGTGAGTTACAGTCATGTGTTATTTGGGAAGCCACAAATAAGATTTTAAAAACTTCTCAATTTGGAAGTGTTAAAATGGCTATTAATAAAGGTGAACAGTGGGAAATCTGAAAATCTGAGAAATTCTGAACACCTGTAAGTGTTAGGCAGTGTTCCTAGATTATGAAAGGTTTTTAGATAACACATTGCTTTATTTTAGATGATTGAAGAAGTACAAAAGGCAATAGTGATTTTCAGTGCCATTACAATGATCTTCTCAAAAATCTAACAGTCATTAATGTAAGTTAATAATTTTTTTTTTTGTAACACCTAGTTAGTCTGATAGCAGTCAGCATCTGATATAGTGGAAATCAGTATGAACAAATGGTTTGCTAGGATGATGAGGTACAAAACAACTATAAAATGGCCAAAAAAAAGGTAAACTTAGAGTGACAGGAGGGACGCTTGCTAGAAATTATGAAAATGTCATGGTTTAACCCCAGCTGGCAACTAAGCACCACACAGTTGCTCACTCACTCCACTCACAGTGGAATGGGAGAGAGAATCAGGAGAGTAAAAGTGAGAAAACTCCTGTGTTAAGATAAAGACAGTTTAACCGTGCACGTAAGCAAAGCAAAACAAGGATTCATTCACTACTACCCATCTCCAGGAAAGCCAAGTTCCAGCATGTGTGACAGTAACTTGGGAAGACAAGCACCGTAACTCCAAATTACATCCCCCCCTTCCTTCTTCCCCCAGCTTTTTGAGTGTGGTATCGCATGATATGATATGGTCTGGAATATCCCTTTGGTCAGTTGGGATCAGCGGTCCCAGCTGTGTCCCCTCCCAGCTTCTTGTGCACCCCCAGCCTTCTCGCTGGGGGGTTGAGAAGCAGAAAAAGCCATGACACTGCGTAAGCGCTACTTGGCAGCAACTAGAGTATCCCTATATTTCCAGCACTGCTTTCAGCACAAATCCAAAACATAGCCCTATATAGCTACTATGAAGAAAACTAAATGTATTCCAGGCAAAACCAGCACAAAAACGAAACTGAGAAAAGGATAAGACTGTACTCAGCAGACACTATGGAATTCAGATTCAAATCCTGATCATGCTTCTATAAAGCCTGCTACATGTATGATCCTATAATGATGGTGGTATGTTAGGACAACAGCACAAAGGATATGTTTTAAATTGTAAATTAAATATCTGTACCAAATTAAAAACTCAGAGCAGGGTTCAATTTCTAATTCTTTGAAAGAAAAAATTGTGATTTTTTTTCTCCTTATGATTAGATTGTATGTGTGTCTGCTTTTTGTGAGAAAGTTGTAGTAATTCTTTGCTTTATGGATTTGTTTTTTTCAACAGTTCAGGGCGGCAGCTAAGTGAAGTCTTCATTCAGCTCCCGTCTCGGAAAGAATTACCAGAGTATTATGAATTGATTAGGAAACCTGTGGACTTCAAAAAGATAAAGGTAGGAGCCTTTTTTGGAAGTGGAGATTATTCAGTTGCTTTTTGTTATACAGAAGGATGAGCATGAAGTTGTCATTAAAATTACAACAGCATTAATGTTGTATGTACCTGTGTTTGAGGCTTAAATTTTATACATTGTTGTATACCTTGTTAGGAATTTTGTTTAGTGTATATTGCAGTATATCACTGTAATTTCAAAGTCAAATCAAAGTGTAGCAGTGTGACATGAATGACACTTTCTGAGATGACATCTCAGTGTCCTTTTTGCAAAGATAATTGTGAATCTGTAAGCACATTTTTGATAAAAGCACAGTGTTTGCAAAGGTTAATGGTTCTAGGGGAAATATAGTCATCTATAAAGTAGCATCACATCCTGGAACAGCCAGGTCAGATCCCGTCCTGGTTTTTGCTAGGATAGGGTTAATTTCCTTCTTAGTAGCTAGAAAGCGCTGTGGTTTGGTTTCAGTGAGGACTGTTATGAGAACAGTGTTGATAACTACAAGGACATGGTGCTTGGGCTGTTTGCAAGAACAGAGGACTGGAAGGGGAGAGTACAGAAGAAAAGTGTAGTAGTTAGCAAACCCCAGAACTGACAGTTGGACATGCCAGTAAGATATTCCATATCACATATGTCATGTTTAGTGTATTAACCGGGGCTGACTGGAAGGGGCGGGGCAGGGGGAAGGGGGCACTGCTAGTGGCTGTGTCTTGTTTGGCTGCCAGCTAAACTATCACAGATCCAAACACAGTTTTGCAGATAGGGTTTAGACAGCTTGTTGCTTGTTAGGTGATGTCATAACCCTGGCTTTCATTCATGTCATAGCTTGTTTTGTTTCTGTGCTAGAAAGGATAAACAGAAACTCCTTTTACCAAAAGAGCTCCATTTCTGTTACTTTTGTCCCTTACAGTTCACACAGCAGTTGCTTAATTTTTACTCTGTTACCCTGGTGTATTTTTTTTAAGTAATATGTTCACAATATGTCTTAAGACTTACTTTATTTGTTTTAAACAAATACTTGTCTTGATGCTTAGGTAAAATTTATAAAAATGAAGCTTTTAATATGTTGAAATCAAATATTAATTCAGTGTCTTGTCTGCTGTTTTTCTTTCTGCACCACTGCCCATCCATACTTCGCTTCATTTCCTCAACGAATGCAACAGGAAAGAATTCGCAACCATAAGTATCGGAGTCTTGGAGACTTGGAGAAAGATGTCATGTTGCTGTGTCACAATGCTCAGACATTCAATTTGGAGGGATCACAGGTCTGAATGAACCACTTTTTGTTAAACATAGAGCTGTCCCCTAGCTGATGTTTTCAGTCCTTGCAGATTATTACATAGAATCATAGAATCTTCTGCTTGGAAAAGACCCCTGAGATCATCAAGTCCAACCATACCTGTCCACTGCTAAACCGTATCTTCGAGCACCCCATCTACCTGTCTTTTAAACACCTTCAGGGATGGTGGCTCAGCCACCTCCCTAGGCAGCCCGTTCCATTGCCTGAGAACCCTTTCAGTGAAGAAGTATTTCCTGACATCCAATCTGCACCTCTCCTGGTGCAACTTAAGGCCACTGCATCTTTTTCTGTCACTAGTTACCTGGGAGAAAAGACACACACCTGCCTCCCTACAACCTCCTTTCAGGTAGTTGTAGACAGCAATTAGGTCTCCCCTCAGCCTTCTCTTCTCTGGACTAAACAACCCCAGTTCCCTCAGCCGCTCCTCGTAAGACTTGTTCTCCAGCCCCTTCACCAGCTTTGTTGCCCTTCTCTGGACACACTCCAGTGCCTTAATGTCGTTCTTGTAATGAGGGGCCCCAAACTGGACACCAGTATTCAAGGTGCAGCCTCACCAAGGCTGAGTACAGGGGAAGAATTGTGTCTAGACTCTATGTTTTAATTCTTACTTTGAATAGAGAAAAATACCCAGATTCTTAGAATCATCCAGAATTTACTAGACACAGCTGCAGTGTGTGCATGCAGAGAAATTGATTTTAACTCTAATTTTGAGATGAGTTTTTTTCTGATCTGTGTGTAGTTTACATCTGCTGTAAGACTATTTGAATCTATGGTAAAAGGCATTGCATGTAGAGTGATACATCAGCTTGGATTTACCACAGTGGATGATAGAAGGAGAAGATGTAACAGTACAGCTTAGGATGCGATGTTGTGGAAATACTTTGTAGTGAACTTTTCAGTTCTGCTAATGGAAGGTACAAATTCAAGGTTTGTCCAGCAGAAAAGCTTTGTGGATGAAGCTTTATCTCTCTGAACCCTCTCGTAATTTTTTTCTTTTAATGTTGAAAGATCAGTGTCCATTCTAAGAGATAGTAATAATAAATCCTAGATAAGTCTCAGAGGTTTAGAAGGCAAAATCTGTAATCTCAAAAAGATGTTTCACACACATGAATGCAATCAATGCTGTGAATTCAGGGCAGGACACAAAAGGAGACACTACAAAATCTGGATGGCGGATAAGAAAGTGGTCTCTTAATACAGTGAAACATAGTCTTGGATTATTATTTTTATAGATGAGGTCCAAATAGTGTGATGCAAACACAATATTAAATTGAAACAAGAGAACATGAAGACAACTACTGTAATGTTGAAGTAGAAAAAAATTGTGTTAAAAGACACAGTTTAAGTAAAAGTAAGCTGAAGGCTGATGGTGCCAATATTAACACATCCTTCAAATTCCTAACATTACTGATAACCCTTAGATAACCTGGGGAGTTTTTATTAAAATTTGAAAATTAATGAAAATAAGCATGCAATTAATTATGAAGGATTGTTGAATATAACTCATCATTTTGTGATTATTTTTGCTATCTAGAGGCAGAAAATGTTTTCTGTTACATGTATGTGTGGTATATTTGCTGTCTTCAGTTGTATCAAAAAAATCTAAAATAAATCAGCTAAATAATATTTTAATAAGAAAGTTAATTAGGATAGGAAACATGGGACAAAATTTTGCTACATGTCCAAACATAAATTGCTGGTTTCCTACTTAGTCATATAGCAGTAAAACAGCTATAAATATCTAACGATAACAAATGCAAAACCAAAGAAAAAGTGAAAGAAAGCTAATACCAAAGACTGTCACTGAGATGTAAGAGAATGATAAAAGGTGGTAGAGGATGTACAAAGAGGCAAAGAAAAATCAGTAGCTAAATAGGAAAAATAATGAAATTATTCTCGTCAGAATGGCTCAAGTTGCTAATGGGAAAATGGTCTCCTGTTAGGCAGAGGTGGTATGATTGACAGGAATAATCTTGAGTAGGTAGAAATGTTCAGTGGATATTGCTGCTTTGTTTGTAAATAACCCACCCTGTATTACACTGTTGCAATGTTATTTTCCATTACAATGTACCAACAATAATTACCAGAGTTAGTATTACATTTTACTACATGAAGCCCAAATATCTGATATGTAAGATTTTTTTAGGTTTCTTTCTGGTAAGTTCTCATACCATTCATTTTGATTTCCAGTGAATTGCAGCACACTTCAGCAGTCCTCCAGTTTTTAAGGCTACCTCATGTTCTTTGTAATACTTTGGATCCACCTTTGCTGTGACATACTAGTTCACTGCAGTAGAGTAGATTATTTGCATGTGCACCCAAAACCAAAAAGCAAATTCAGGCAGTTATATAAGTACGCAGTGACTCCAAGTGAAATTCTGCATGTTTGTTCTGTTAGCATGATGCATGCTGCTTTTCCTTGGAGCAAAGCAGTTCCATCTGAGCTGGAATCTTATGAAGGGTTTGAGGCTTTTGTCCTCAACGCAACCTTACCAATTTGGAAAGCAATTTTCATGTTGTAATGGTTAAATGAAACACAAGCACCTAAAGGGTTAAAAATAGTATGTGTCTATTGAAACAGAAGATTTGTTATGACTGTTGTTATTTATCATGAAGTTCTGTTGTCATTGCTTCTCACTTTTTGAAGGAAGTTCCACTGTCATGGCTGCTTGTTTTTTTTGACACCTGTAGGAGTTGGATTTTGGCCAAAATAGGAAAACTTATTTGCACAGCTTTTCCAGGTTTTTCTGGATCAGAATAGATGCTGAATATTACAAATAATTCCACATTAAGGAGGTTAAAATAATTCTAAAACCTCTTTATTTCCCTAGGAAATTCTGTTTCAAAGTCTAGGTCACAGTGATACCTTAAATATGTAGCGACTGGCATTAAAAAAAAAAAAAATGTTGTATGCATCCTTAATACTTTCATTTTAGAAAAGTCTTTATTCTGAGAAAGGACAGCAGGATTAGTTGAAAGAACCATTCCGACAAACAGTGGAATGTGCTAGGTCTATGCCTAAGAAAAATAAGTAGGAAGAACTCCTCAGGAAGAACTCAGGTGTGGGAACGCAATCATGGACTCTGCACATGATCAGTATGATCAAGCAAGAGGCCATTTGTTTGTTTTAATACAGTTATATTTATAGCCCAAACTAATGAAATCACACACTTCCATTAATATGTTTTTGTCTGTTCACTCATAGCATGAGCTGTTCATGCACCTTTTTCTGCATAGTGGTTGGCTGATGGACTTTGTGTGCATCCTTTATTGTTTGCTTGCCAGGCTACATCTTTGGATACATTTCAAGGCTCCTTCCTTGTATCTTGTCGACTCAGCTACTGATATCCTTGTTTTGAGACTTGCCTTTTCGTATGTCCAGACACATACCCCTTCAGTTCCTACAGTCCTATCAGGGTATGCCAGGATATGTTTCCACACTCCCCACACTCAGGGGCTTCAGTTGATAGCCTTCAGTCTCACAGACCTCTAATGTTGTAAGACAACAGGAGAAAAGCCTTTTCAAAACATTCATGATCATTATATGTGTGTCAAGAAATTTTACCATAGTCAAGAGCAAACATCTCATTAAAAAAGCACAATGGTACTTCAGAATGGGGAACTATTTGCAGTGAGAGGCAGTTTTTCTAAAAAGGACTTGTCAGTCAAGTGAAAAAGAGAGTTTGCATATTTCATGTAAATTATTCTGAACAAAGTTTTTCTAATTCACTTTGTTGAACCTGCAGGTTATTAGAGCAGTTTTATTAGTTTTAATATACAGATTACATAATGGCAACCAAAAATCCTTCCATTACCTTTCTCACAAATATCCAGTGTCCCTTTATATGATAAAGTCTGTAATTTAGCCAAAGAAGCAGTATGACCGCCAGGGTAGTTCAGGTGATGATGGTGATGATGATAAAACTAAACACTATGATTCTGTACCCTTCTACTAATTAATTGTCTAGTGCTGAATTGCCCAGTGCTTGGCTTCCGACATTTTACAAAACAAAATATACAAGCTCATTTGTTAAGGTGATTATGAAGTCCCAGATACTCAGCAAGACGAGATTTTTACTCTGTTAATCTGAGAAAAGTGTTATGGAACAAATGTAGTTTGCTCACTCTTGAGAGCCTACTCATGCTTGAAGTTAAAGAGAAAATCTGATGTACTCAAGATACTTGGCAAGCTACAGAATGTTTGAGACAGGTGCTGAGTTTAGAACAAGCACTGATTTTATTTTTTTCCCCTCTAGTCTTTTAAGATCTGAGAGAAAGGAAGGAATGAGCTGCTTGGGATAAATTTTATTGTTTGTAGCCACTTTGGATTTTAGAAAAAACTAAGGATAATTAACATGAGGGTTAGCCATTTGTCGTTATCTACTGTATTGCTGGACTATAACCCATTTTTTAATTAAGGTTCTTACTGCTGAAGTCTGTTGCTTTGGCAGTTTTTCAAAGCTTTTATGATCTAATGAAAATACACCATTGTGGTAATAATAAGAAAAATACTCTTAAATGGACATTTTAGATGTCATACATTTTAAGAATTGTATTTTTGTGGCTCACTATTGACAGATTTCTTCATTTAGACCATAAAAAATTAATCTGGCATTTCTTGTAAAATTTGTGCAACAAGCATTGTTGCTCAGTATTTGAAAAGGCCATATACTCTGTGGGTTTGCACTGGAAATTAAGGTCTCTGCTGTGAATGTTTGATATTGCCTGACTTTACAGTTCTGACATTGGTTTGCATTCATACTGTAGATCTATGAGGATTCCATTGTTCTTCAGTCTGTGTTCAAAAGTGCACGACAGAAGATTGCCAAAGAAGAAGAAAGCGAGGATGAAAGCAATGATGATGAAGATGATGATGAAGAAGAAGAATCAGAATCAGAATGTGAGTCCTCCTACTAAATACTGAAAAGAAAGTACATCTGGGGATGGAAGGGGAGGTTTTCCAGTTTCTGCATGAAGACTGGTTATAAGTTTCTGTTTTCCATTGGTGAAAGTAACTTCTAAGTTTGCTGCTTTGAATGTTAGCATTCAGCTGAAGCCTTTTGGCTGTATGTTCTGGCTATATCTCTTGGAGTAGACTATCTTTAAGCTGCAAACAAATCACAGAGGTGCTTTGTGGAAGCAGATCTGACTGGCCTTGAGTGTTTATAAACCCTTCTGATCCTCATTTAATTCATGTAATTTGTAAATAGAAGTGCCTGGAAAGGTTAGAGACAGTCTTTTTCCATGAGTGATAAACCTTCAAGTCCGGTGTGATATATATATAAAATTCATCATCTGGTTAAGAACCAGAAGATGTTGCAAGTATTCTTCAGTGCAACAAGGATTAAGTGAAACTCTGATTGTTGCAGAAGCAGGAGGTGACACTCATTCAGTCCCTGCAAGCTTGGAAACATGGTATGGTGGAAAAGGAGGGACCCCTTCATTCCAGTTTCTGCCACCAAATGCGTCTACCCGTACTCTTCAGCTACTCTATTGGTCTGTTTACAGAAACTGTAGTACTGGGCCCAGAGCTACTCTTCCCAGTACATCACGCGAGTGTGCAAAGCATGCAGCTTTAGAAGTTCTCTTGGAAATGAGTGGTTTCGAATCAGGAATTTAACATGTTCTTCAGAAAGACGTCAACTCAAAATTTGCCAGTCACCTCCACATACCATTTCTGTTGCTTAAAAGAAAAAAATGTGTGTTTGTACAAAGGGTAAACATTTCTCCATATGTATTTTTAGATGTGTATATTCTCACAGGACCTTTTACTCCCTGTAGACACCATGCATTCTGAGAAGGAAAAGAAGATGCACATGGTCAACTTAAAAAGTTATTCTTTAGTGTAATACAAATTATTGTTAAAAGTATCAAGAAGTAGGGAAATAAAAGCAAAAGCTTCTTCGTTGTTCCACAGTCCGGGTGAAGAACACAGGGGAGTATCTTTTCAGGCTGCTACCAGGGATAAATTTCTGTCAACAGAGGCAGAATTTAAAAGTTGATGAGTGAAAGTTACATTCATGTATGCTATTAAACTTTTGCAGCAAAATCAGTGAAAGTCAAAATCAAGCTAAATAAGAAGGATGAAAAAAGTCGGGAGAAAGGAAAAGGCAAGAAGAGGCAAAGCCGAGCAAAAGCGAAGCCTGTCGTGAGTGATGATGATAGTGATGAGGATCAAGATGAAAATGTAAGTTTTGTTCACTGAGGCTGTGCAAGCGGTTGCAGTGATTGCATCTCTACCCTGTCCTGCTTGCTGTCAGAATTCTCATCTATTCATGCTTAAGCACATTTTTAATCTGTTTTAATCATCTTGCGGGAATTGGGCGGGGGGTGTTAACTGTATCTGGGTATGCTGATGAGATCTGGTCCCAGTGCTGAAAAGACAAGAAGTCTAAGAAGTTTGGAGCTTATTTCTGGGAGCTGTTCCTACTATTACTGAACCTTTAAACCTCATGGTCTGTTTGCTTTTGTCTATAAACAAAAAACTCCTAGCTTGGGGGGTTTTTTGGTGGGGTTTTTGTTTGTTTGTTTGGGGTTTTGGGGTTGGTTTTTTTTGTAAGAGCTTCTACTTTTGCTACAATTGCAAACAGACCTCTTCCCCGGTGATTTTAAATGTCTGGGTTGAATTGAAGGTGTGGTGTTTCCTGACTGTGTGTCTTTCCTTCTGTAAAGAAGTCTACAGCAATTAAATGAAATGTCATGAAAGAACTATTACATAACTTAGTACCTTTCTTAAGGCTGTCTTGATTTGTCAGTTTAATTGCAATTTTTCTTCCTTTTTACTCATTTTTTTCCTTCTTTAACAAATTCCACAGAATAACTGGCAAAGAATTTCTTACTTGTCTTGTGTCTCTTACCTCTAGGACCAGTCGGAAGCAAGCGGAAGTGATGATGAGTGATCCATAGGGTTTATTTTCTTGGCAGAACTGACCCCTTCCCCTTCTCTTCTCCCTTCTCCTATTTTACACCCAGTGAATTCATTTTGTCAAATAGACATTGGGTTGTTTCTGTATTCTCATTCTCTATAAATTAGCTTTAGGATAGTGCCAGACAAACATATGATATCATGGTGTAAAAAAGGAAAAAAATGTAACATACTTTGACCAAATGGGCCTCAAAAAGTTTAAAAACAAAACAACAAAAAAAGCTTGTAATGGAATATGTGGGTTGATAGTATATTTCTATGGGTTGGTTTAACTTGGTAATGGTTTGATTGTGCCTGGTTTTATAATTTGATAGGATGTTTTTCAGTGGCATCAGAAAGACAAAAAAAAAAAAGTCTTTTGTAGCATTGATAACCAGGAGAAGCCATTAAAAGCCACTGGTTATTTTATTTTTCATCAGGCAGTTTTCAAAGTTTTTATTTGTTCTGTATTGGTTTTTTACACTGTGGTACATATATGCAACTTTGTTTAATAGCTTATAAATGTACAGTAGTTAGCCTTCATCCGCCTTGTCCCATATAAGTTTTTCCACTTTACGCTTGACGATCTTCAGAAAAATGCTTTATGAATTGTATCAAATTTATGTCTACTGTAAACTTTGCTTAACTTTTTTTCCTCAATTAAAAAACTTGGGTTAAAAAAAAATGCTATTCAATATTGCAATCTATATAGTGTAATGGATGGCTTCTTTCATCAGACTAATCTTCTATGTTACCAATGTGGATTATCACCTTTTCCCTAAAGTGTACTTAATCTTTGCTTTCTTTGCACAATGTCTTTGGTTGCAAGTCATAAGCCTGAGGCAAATAAAATTCCAGTAATTTTGAAGAATGTGGTGTTGGTGCTTTCCTAATAAAGAGATGATTTAGCTCAATAGATTCGGCCTTGTGTTATCAGTTCCACAAAAATCTTTTTATAGTATGGATGAGAGGGCAGGAATGTCACCTGTAGAGAAGTTCACTGAGGTCTGTCCTGAATGTAAAATAAGAACTCATTTAGATACCATAGAAGTATCTCCAGAGATGGAGAGAAGATATGCAATATATGTTTAAAAAAGAATAATAAAATTGAGGTAGTAAAATAATACCTTGAACTAAAAGTGTAGTTCATACCTATTTACAATTGAAGTGTTTAAGCAATGAAATAAACATTTATTTTTCTTTCAGGAAATGTATGTCCGTAGGCCTGAGTGGGCATGAACACAATTAGTTATGCGGGTAATCAGCCCACCTAGAAGTCCATTTATTTTAAGTATTGTCTTGAGGTATCAGGGCTGTGATGCACTAAGATGTGGTAGTGTAAACATATGAACTACCTATCTACAGTCAATGTTGCTAGTCTGGAAAAACAAAACTTCTCAGATTTGAACATACATTGAGTAGAAAATGTGCAAGCCTAGGAGTTGATTTGTAAACAGAACATTTTGTTGTTACCTGAACGGTGTGTTTCTCAGTATGTGTCTACATCACATCTCTTTATACTGCCTTGCAGGTATGTCACCTGCTTCAGGTTTTTCTTGCTTGGTTGAAAACCAATTTATAAGTTTATCTGGTGCCTGTGTGTATGTGTATTAGCCTTGTGCTGAGATAAGTCAGCTTTGCTTAGTTTTAGCAATTTCAAACATTAATTCCCAGTGTGTCCCCCATCTCAACAGAAGACCCTGTATTTCACAGAGAGATATCACTGATCTCAGAGGACCAACATCTGAAGCAGCTTTGCAGAAAACGACCTGGTGGTCCTGATGGACACCCAAGTTGAACACGAGCCAACAATGCACCCTTGTGGCAAAGAAGGTTAACAGTATCCTGGACTGCATTAGAAGTGTTTCCAGCAGGTCTGTTCAGCACTGGTGAGCTATATCCAGTGCTTTGTCCAGTGGTGGGCTCCCCAGTAGAAGAGAGACATGGACATAACTGGAGCAAGTCCAGCAAAGGGCCACTAAGATGATTAAAGGACTGGAGCATATGACATGCAAAGGGAGGCTGAGAGAGCTGGGACTGTTCAACCTGTAGAAGAGAAGGCTCAAAGGCACTTTATCAATGTGAATTAGTATCTGAAGGGAGGGTGCAAAGAAGACAGAGCCAGGCTCTTTCCAGTGGTGCCCAGTGACAGGACCAGAGGCCATGGGCACACACAGGAGTTTCCCTCTGAACATCAGGAAACACTTTTTTACTGTGAGGATGACTGAGCCTCAGCCCAGAGAGGTTAGGTCCCCCTTTTTGGAGATAGTTAAAAGCCGTCTGGACATGGCCCTGAGCAGCTGGTTCTAGGTGACCTCTCTTGACCTCCAGAGGTCCCTGCTCTCCTCAGCCATTTTGTGATTCTGTGATATGAAATAGTTTGGTTTGCAGAAGCCATTCTATCTTCAGTAACAGTTTCACAAGACCATATATAAATGTTATTTTTTCACTGCAAAATGAACTAAGTCTACCAACCCATTATGCATAGCAAGAAACATCTGGCAGTAGGCTTCCCTCACTGCTGGCCTAGACTGGATTGAAACTGGCAACTTAGATGTAAAAGGCACAGTACCGCATTGCCCATCCCCAGAGTGCCTGATGACTTTGCAGTGACCCAGTTTGATTTACTTTTCAAGAACTCATTATTTACAGATGAGTGTTCAGATGGAGAATAAAAATGAACTAGGAAGACCCAACATTTCTGTTAAAAATGAAAGTAATTTTTTTTTCAGTCAATAACTATAAGCCATATGAGGATATCAGTATACGTGAAGAAATAAATTTGAATTCTTAGTTGCAGTTTTTGTTTTATCAGGTTTAAATAATTTCAAAATATTTTCAATTTCACCTCAGTTTCAAGAAAAAATGCAATTATTTTTATCATTAGATTAAAACTGATTTATTACTGTTAAGTCATGCCTGTGCATCCACTGTAGTTAGTCCTGTTATTTTGCTTAGGATTTGAATTATTTTCTACCCCAGGTAATTTTTAAATTGTTATCCTGCTCTTTCTCCATATGAATTTACTACGTTTTTAAGATGAGGGTTTTTTTCTGGTGACCTCAGCTCATCACTGTATGAAAAAGAAGGTTCTGGGGAAATCGTTGTCATATGTAACATTGCAAATTCTTCAGCAAAGAAAGAGGAGGAAATCTTTTTTTGAAGTATGTACAAATCCATGCTGAAGATGGAAGCACACTTTCTGTCTTAAGAGTATTCCCTTTCTAGTACAAATTGACATGCAAAGCACTTGGAATACCTTTTGGACAAAACACAAATAAAAGCACAATGCTGCAATCCATATTGAGGGATATTAACTCATTTCCTACTCATTTCCTCATTTTCCTATTCCTCATTTCAGAAAATTTTGTACTAAAATTGGAAACGGTGTACCTTGGGTACTGGGGAACATAGGCAAAGTGAAATAAATAGCGTGAGGTTTTCTTGTTGTATCTGCTTCTCCTGGAAAGTAGGCAGCAAAGTGGGCCAGATGAATAACATTTAACAGTTTTATATGTTTCAGATGCTATTAATATTCTTTCTTTTCCCCTTACACACCTTCTGAAAGAAACAAAGAAAATGTGAAACCTTTTACTTAGTATAAATGGCTTCCAGCTTAAATGTATCTGGTCCTCAATGCAAAGTACTGCACTGGCTGTGTTTTCAGACCCACATACATTTTTGTTGTCCTTGTCATGTGTACTGCTTTTAGAATAGAAGTGACATGGTGTTTCCCTGCCGCCACCTCTCTGTCCCTGAAGGTGTGCTCTTCACTCACACAGCTCATGAATAAAGCTGGCAATTCAGTGATTGTTGAGGCAGAGGGACCTGGCAGGTTGTGTCATGACAAATACTGCCACAGCTCCGGTGTGCTTTAAGACAAAGGCACAGCTGATGCAGCAGTAAGCCTCAAAGTAATGTGCAATTATTAAGCTGTTGGTACCTGCTCAGTCCTGTCAACTGCCCAAGGAGGGCATTCATAGCTCTACTAATAATGCACCATATACTGACACTTTTTCTTTCAAAATGTTTGGACAATGAGGTTTACTGAACACATTGTCTAGTCTAGAAAACAGGTCACAACATGTTAAAAATGAGAAGTTTTTATAAAAAGGGATTTGCAAACTAGTCTCTTACTTTCCTCTCTGCACATCCTCTGAAAAAACTCTGTTTCTAAATTCCTGCTAAAACATCCATTTTCAGTTTTGAATAGGGAATTGAACTGTAGGCTGAGACATGACTGTAAATCAAGTTCTTTGGGTTCGCATGCAAAGAGGTGAGTGATACACAGTTTTGACTCCTTTCAGTAGAATTGTGTATTTTAGGATTCCCTCACCCCTCATCTTGCTGTGCTGAACAAGGGATGGAAGGTAGATGAGACAGAAGATAAGAAGAGAACATGAAGCAGGTTACCAGTCAGTATTTACCTAGTTCTGTTTTATTGGAACTGGACATCCCATTCAGTGGGGACAGAACTTTGTACTTTAGGACTTTAGTCATACATTTTAAATGTTTAAACATCAAGGGCCATGTTTCTGCTTGGGGTAGCTTTATCAATAAAACCAAAAATGCTGTGAAGGATTATCCAGATGCAACCTGCTTATTCTCTGTGAGGAAAGTCAGAAAATCAGATTTTATCCAACAACTATTTAAACATGACATAAAACAAAATGTGGGCTCCCACAGGGATCCATCCTGGGGCCAGTGCT